TAACATCCTGTTATCAGAAGAAACTCTGAACTCCCACCCAGAAGAGTCTTTAAGACAACCCAAGCCTCATCACTCATCTCAAGCATTTCCATCCTTGGAGAAAAATAAAACACAAGAACAAACATAGAAGTAGGCTGCTGCATTTTGATCCTGATCTACTTCCAAAGACAGACTGAAAACATGATGCTACATTTGTACTTCCATAGTCTGATTTACTAAAACATTCCCAGTCACAAAAGGTTGACCTGCTGAGAAAGCTCAAGACCACCAATCAGAAAAGACAAAAAAGCAGATAAAGCCCCTTTCACTGCAGTGTGTGAGTACTCCCATGAGAAAAACTTCCAAATATTACAGCTTTAATATAATAGCTAAGCAAAAGAAACAAAGACCAATTACTGGTAGGCAAGGTCAAGTCTCATCTAACTGGGATGAGACAAAGTAAGGAATTCTTCTGCAAGCTCTTCTTCAGTAAAGTTCAAGTTCTGGGGCTCAATCATTCAGGTAGAAACTTCTCTGAAATGTAAAGGCTAAAACAGGCACTAACATCTAAAGGCAAACAGCTATGGTGTGTTGGCAGCAGGGCTGTATCAGCAAGCACTGGGGTTTGTGCTGTGGTCATAAAGAGGTGGGGTTGACAAACACATTTTTGACAAATGAATTGGCAAAGTTCAACCTTAAGAAGTGTCCTTTTGTCTGCAAGGTTCCTTCTTCACCTGTTGTGTAAAACGTACCTCTCATTTTTGTTTGTTTAGCATTTTTTTCTCTGTCAACCACAATATGCAGCTGAAAATTTGCCAACTGCCTCCTTGCCTGCTCAGAGAATGGTATCAGTGTCTCCAAATGCCATCTGCTATCTGCCAGCCAGGCTGTCATTCTCCCAAATCCTTGTGGCTGTTCTGTGTCTAACAGCTGCATGACAGCCACACACACTGTCAGCTTGCTTGTTCCTGATGGTTTGGTGCTATCAGGATCAAAACAATTTCTATATGAATTCTATACTGGATAATAAAATATGTGTAATTTTTATGGATTAGTAAACAGCCTTTGCCATGACTCTGTTACTCTTTCCAAACTGAGAGGTGCAAACCTTATTTTCTATATCTGGGACTAAACCTGCAGTGACAACAAGATCCTAATAGAAACAGTCACAGTTACTTTCTCCTATTACAAACAAGTGGCAATAGTGAAGATAATTTCCCTGACAGTTATTTAAACTGCAAAATTAAAACCCTCATTCTCCTACAAAATCCCTACTGTTTCTAGTAGCTGTTAATATATCATCTATGATTGCTTTTTTATCCAATTTATTCATGCTCGTCACCATGACAGAGAAACCCACAATTAAGAGAAAAATTTAAGTTTGGGGTGGTTCTCTCATGGCTGAATTTGATAGTGTCCAGTTTTAATGTTTTCAAAACTTTTTGTGGCTGATGGAACACGCTAACAGAGTACTTTTAAAATCTGTTAACTACCAGGGCAGCATGCAGTGGGAATGCCAAAGCTGAAAAACTGCATCTTTTATTTTGAGAAGGCTCAACCCAGATGCTTAAATAGAGACACCTGTGAGATGTGTGAGAGCCCCAGCACCTGCATGGGGCTGGCAGAGGGGGCATGGGGCTGACAAGGACCTGACTCACCTGGTGGGGCTGCTGAAGCCAAGGCAGGAAAGGATGCAGGAAATCTTCAGACACCATGCCTGTGGTTAGACATGAGTCATGCCTCACATCACTTCCCTTGATTACTTATCTTGCAAATAGAAGCCATACAAAATGCAAACAAATGGCTTCATTCACCACAGATAAATCAAGTTTTTCAAGTTGGCAATAATTCTTTGTTATGATGGGGGCAGACTCCTTTTATTTTATTGACCATATTTTACTGACTGGATAACACTATATTTTGCGTCTTTTTTCAGCTGAGATACCAGATTTTTAACTCAAGTGTTCTTATGTCTTATTAAAAATTTGACACCTCATTTATGATGACTTATGATGAGCTATCCTTGATGGAACTGAAGTAAATTCTTGTGTATAACAGCATGAAAGTGAACATGACTTAAGAACATCTACACAGGCCTGAAATCCATGGGCACAATCCTTGGGAACATCATGCTCACCCTTGCATGTATTTTAAAGCTCAGTTATTTAAAGGGAAAAGAACTTGAAGGATGTTGCACCCCAGCAGGGAAGCCCCAAGAGGACATGCTTCACCCTTTGGCCCCTTCATTGCTTCTAAAATACATCTCTGCAAGACACTCTATCTAAACACCATCTGTACATTCACAGACACACAGAAGTGCTGTTACTGTACAGACATGCATGTTTAGTGTCCAGCAAATCAACTGTGCCTACAGAACTTGGAGGTCTGTGTGTCTAATACCTTTCTACCTCACAGGAAGGAGGTGGAGGAAGTTTCAAGATACTCCCAGATCAGCTGAGTCACCTAAATCAGCAGTTCATACACCACAATCAATGGGCTGTCCATTGCTTCAGCCACTAGTCATAGTCAACAATAAAGAAAGAGTCATTTTCTGGATAGCAACTGTTGAAAATTTTATATTATTTGAAAGTAGCAAATTTCTTGCTTGACATAAGTAGTTAGAGTTGTGGGGCTAAAAATTGAACTTTATCTGAACCATATGGCTATGTTGTGTAAGTCAAAGATGGATTACAGAGAAATCCAGAGCTAATAATCTCATATTAAGAACAGTACAGATAGATTGTAGTGAAATGTGAACAACCAGAACATTAGTCATAGAATAGACATAGAATAGACAAAGTTAGCAGCTTAAATATTACTTAAAAATTAGTGGCTAGAGTGAACAGCCCATTGATTGTGGTAATGAACTGTGACAACCATACCCCAAAGTGGGATACAGAACTGACCAAAACCCCCACCAAACTGACCTCAGGGCATGTGAAGATGACCACATAGCAACCATCTGGTAACAAAACAGTGAACCAATACTGAGGGAGAAGACCCCTAATATTATCCTTGGTCTGGAGTGTTGCATGAGGAATGGGGAGTTTGGATTGAGAGGGTTTAGTTGCCAAGGGGTTTCTTTGTTCAGGGTCCATCTTTTGAGGCACCTAAGCTTGAGCTACCAGATATCATAACTGATTTGTGCCAATACCCCACCTAATGGAGATGACAGTCTAGTGAAAAAAACTTCTTTAATAGTAACAACAGAACTTAGTAGAGTATATAAAAACTAGAGAGCTAAACTCTAAAACTCTAAACTCTAAAATTAGAGTCCAGATACTTTGGATTTTTTAATGTTTTTGTAAAACATAACTGCTTGACCTATTTACATAATGTAAAACATAAATGTAGCAACTCTGATATTTCAGATGGGTTTTATTTTTTTTTTTTTGCCACAAATGCATAGTAATTTTTTCATGGGTAGCCACTTGTTAACATCTACTACAGCAGCACTCACAGGACAGTCTCAGATGTAAAAGGAACAGCAAATCTCCTGGATAATAAGAGACCATGGAAATGAAAAGAATCTGCCACAGATCTCCCCCAGTGGGGGGTAGCTAAACAAGAAGTTATTTCTGTCTTCTGCTGACTGTGGGCTAATGGCCAGGGGCTGAACAAGAATCGCCTGTCCCTGAGCACTGCTCTGCCAGGGGAAGCAACAAAGAGCAATTGTGGAGCTTTGTGATGAGATAATAAAATCATGCTATGGTAATACTTGTACTAGGGAAACATTTCTACAAGGACAGTAATGTTTATAGGCAACAGAGAAGTCCTTGTGAGTTTTGTGAGCTTATGCCCCAGAGGGCTCCTGGGGCAGATATGTTCTCCAGGTAATATTTACTTTTTTGACCTTCAAGTTGCCAAACCATATGGCCCACAACAACCTGCCATCCCCTTACACTATAGAGTCCTCCCTGGAGGAAGGTTTCATCTGCTTTGCAATGACAAGATGAAAGCCAAGGGTGTTGCAGAGAATCTCAACAAATTTGAATTAAAACCAAAGAACTCACCCAACCCCAAGGTTAATTAAACTCACAAACACCATGGAATTGTGCATATGCAGTCTTCATGGATTTTTGAGAGACAGAAGATTTAAAAAAATTTACACAATTTAACATAAGTAAAAATCAATCAAACTTCTCAAATCATAGAATGAAAAGCATTGTTGCTATTCCCAAATTGTCCCCAAAGCATATTCCTTATAGCAGAGCAGCTATCTAGATTTCCAGGTGGATTGACTCTATTTGTTAATATTAAGGACATCAGATGCACAGATAAGCTTGATATAAGACTGCAAACACAGAAAATAATTAAGAGACTTTAAATTGCAAAGGATGTGCATCAAAAAACATTGATTGGAGGAAAAAAGTTCTGGATCGAATTCAGAGAGCAAAAAGCAGATGAAAATATGCAGATTTGGAGCTGTAATGTTCATCAGGTGCAGCTCAGTTTCTGAGAGAAAGGTACACTTTGGGGTTAGTTGGAAAATTTTTCTGAAAGCATTTTTGTCAGTAACATTTGATACTTTTGTTCAAAGTAACATGTTCAGGAAGACATGAATTTTGATGAAAGCTCCATTTTAAAATGAGACATTCTGACAGAGCTGAAAAGTTCAATTTTAACATCTACATAATGGAAGCTTTTCACTGAAGAATGGTTAGCTTTCAATGAGAACTCCATTTAAAAATGATAGTTTAAAAAAAGTTTTAAAACCTAAACTCATTTAGCCAAATAAAATACCTCATTTGACACAGATGATTCATTTTATATTTCTCCCAGCAGAAGCTATTAAATAAAAATTTAACTTCTGAAATTTCAAAGTGGATAAAATTCTGTTGTTGCATTATTCAACAGAATGAAAAAAAGCCATTTTTACCCAGCTTTCTAGCACCAGTATTGACCACAAAAGAGAAGCTGCCTCTGTGCATTGCAGAGCCTCCCAAAGCCACCATAAACCACAGCAGCAGGTGCTGCAGCACCACAGTGCCCCTTCCATCCTCCACAAAAGAAGTTCTTACTGGCTCATCTGCTGACAAACTGGCAGCCCCTACGGCTGGTTTCCGTCTATCCTCTGCGAGTTTGTAAGTCTGGCTCTGGAGGTTTAGAAAACACAATGTATGAGACACTCATGAGCCTCTGGTTACAAAACATGACATTAGGAGAAACAGCAAACTGCAGCTGGAAAGCTCGGGCAAGAACTTCTATTTTATTTTCTGCTCTCCCAGAAGCAGTTCTCTGACACAGATGCAGCCATTTCTCCAAGATTACTTGTAACTTTCTAGGAGCAACAAAGAGATGCAATTCCCAGATGAGTCTGGACTGAATGACAGGATTCTCTTCCAGCATGGGATCACCCCTGTTCCCACTGTAGCCTGCAGCACAACTGTGGTGTCCTGCACCCACATCCAAACCACCTAATCCAGCATGGAGCTCCCACACCTGCTGAAGCTGCCTGAGCTGCAGGGCTGTGATCACCCCTGCCATGGATACACCCCCTCTGGACAGTTTAAATGTGAATGGAATATGTTTGCTGTGCACTGCATTCCATGTGCTGTCCACTGAAAGGCCCTCCAGGACGCTCAGGAGATGCCTGCTGACAGCCTATGGCATGTGTGTGTCCTGTGCAGCAGGAGCCTCCTTGGCTGTGTCTCCTGGGCACAGGTGGAACTGCTGGACACAGGCAGTGCTGCTGATCTGCTCACTCCTCTCCCCTTAGCAAACAGCCGGACTGCAAAAAGATGGGAGATGGGAGATGGGACCATCATCCCACTCACAGGGAGACAAAAAGCTCCTTGGATCTGGAGCTGGAGCTTTATGCAAATGGGGTGCATGGGTGGTATGGGGTGTCTTGCTCACTCTGCCAAAGAAAATGTCCTGGGGAGCTGGTCCAAAAGGATCAGAACCTTGGCATGTCTCCAGGCCTTGCTGGATTTGGATTTAAAAAATAGTTACAGGATAATATAAACCTTACAGAAACTCACTTTAGCCTGTATCAGCAAGCAGGCTGCCTTCTATTGATACCTACTGCAAAACTGCATGAATTCTGCATTCAAGGAGAAAATGCATTGCTGAATAAATATTGCTTTTATCCACTAGTTTCAAAATTGGAGCTAAGACCCCCATCTTCCTCAGCACAAGCGACTTAACTTGCAGAGGAACTAATTATTCAGAGCTGTCACACAGAAGTTTTGGACAATCAGGTCATTTTGATGGTAAATATCTTCATGCAGACAAATGTTACCAAAAATTGTCCCAGTCAAACCTCATACAGTAATTTGATGCCTGACACCTGGATTTTAATGGGGACCTTCTGTAAATACTACACTTTAAGACTACTCCTGTCCCTATTGTTCTGTGAGAAACGCCCAAATTTTGAAAGTATTGGCCTTTGAGACAGGAAGTTTTTCATATTTCTTTAGGGAATTATTTTAGTGTGCAGAATGTTCCAACACAAATTCGCTAAACTAGCTAAAATTAGTTTTTCCATGACATCCTGTGCATAATTTCTTTTTCTCAAATGAAAGTGCTGCCCTGTTCAAGACAAAAGGAGCTTTAAATCACTCAGGACTTGTGTGTGGCAGTAATTATTTCATTATTCATGTACTGTTATGAAGCAATGTTACCAGCTGCATACAAGTTTCCCCCACAAAGTAGATTTTGAGTTTAAATCTTCACTTGCAGCTGTATTAATGCCATATAAAGTGAAAATTGACAAAAATAAAACCAGGAAATCATTGCATTCTTGACAATCCAAATTAAGTAACTACTTACATGTGAACTGCCCATTTTTGCTTAGCCTGAATGTGGAAGGTGCAACTCCTCTGCTCTTCAATAAAACAAGCATGCAGTTGGAAAAGATAAATACTACTTAAACCTGGGTTAATCAATAACTTCAGACATTATTTAAATTCTAGTCATTGCAAGGTGGGGTGTACTCATCATTACATGGTGGCTTTATTATCCCTCCTATCTAATATTACATCCTGTTGTGTCATGGAGCTGACAGCTTTCTCTAAGGAAAATCAGGATTTCACAATGTAAGCCTCAATATTATACATACTGATTTATCTAATTGTTATTACAATGATTTAAAACATAAAAATTTTCTAGCACCCAACATGAACTTTCCAAACAGAGAGCAAGATGCCTCCTTTGAAGAGTTTATATCAGATCTTATGGAATTTAATAGTATTCAATATGCCACTGAGCACCCTCAGCTCCTACAAAACATTTTGAACAGAATCTCACTGCTTTAATTTGGTTTATGTGATCAGGTTTTGGTAGTCAGGGGATTTCAGGAGTGTCCTTTGTGAAAAGAGACCAGGGGTTGCCCCATGCTGGACAGAGCCAGGGCCAGCTGACTCTAAAATGAACCTTCCCCAGACCAACATTGAGCCCCACCAATGATGCTGCTGGTGCCTCTGTGATAATATATTTAACAAATGGCAAAATTACTGGGCAGAAGCTGTGAGAGTGGAATGAGAAAACTGAGAAGGAAACAGCCCTGCAGACACCCAGGTCAGTGGAGAAGGAGGAGCAGGAGGTGCTCCAGGTGCTCTTGCAGAGATTCCCCTGCAGCCCATGGTGCAGCCCATGGTGAGGCAGCTGTGCCCCTGAGAGCACGGAGGTCATGGGAGATGCTCCTGCAGCCTGTGGAGGTTATGGGGGAGCAGAGATGCTCCTGCAGCCCATGGAGGTCATGGGGGAGCAGAGATGCTCCTGCAGCCTGTGGAGGTCATGGGGGAGCAGAGATGCTCCTGCAGCCTGTGGAGGTCATGGGGGAGCAGAGATGCTCCTGCAGCCCATGGAGGTCATGGAGGAGCAGAGATGCTCCTGCAGCCCATGGAGGTCCATGAGGGAGCAGAGATGCTCCTGCAGCCCATGGAGGTCCATGGGGGAGCAGAGATGCTCCTGCAGCCTGTGGAGGTCATGGGGGAGCAGAGATGCTCCTGCAGCCCATGGAGGTCATGGAGGAGCAGAGATGCTCCTGCAGCCCATGGAGGTCCATGGGGGAGCAGAGATGCTCCTGCAGCCCATGGAGGTCATGGAGGAGCAGAGATGCTCCTGCAGCCTGTGGAGGTCATGGGGGAACAGAGATGCTCCTGCAGCCCATGGAGGTCCATGAGGGAGCAGAGATGCTCCTGCAGCCCATGGAGGTCCATGGAGGAGCAGAGATGCTCCTGCAGCCCATGGAGGTCCATGGGGGAGCAGAGATGCTCCTGCAGCCCATGGAGGTCACGGAGGAGCAGAGATGCTCCTGCAGCCCATGGAGGTCATGGAGGAGCAGAGATGCTCCTGCAGCCCATGGAGGTCCATGGGGGAGCAGAGACGCTCCTGCAGCCCATGGAGGTCATGGAGGAGCAGAGATGCTCCTGCAGCCCATGGAGGTCCATGGGGGAGCAGAGATGCTCCTGCAGCCCATGGAGGTCCATGGAGGAGCAGAGATGCTCCTGCAGCCCATGGAGATCCATGGGGGAGCAGAGATGCTCCTGCAGCCCATGGAGGTCCATGAGGGAGCAGAGATGCTCCTGCAGCCCATGGAGGTCCATGGGGGAGCAGAGATGCTCCTGCAGCCCATGGAGGTCCATGAGGGAGCAGAGATGCTCCTGCAGCCCATGGAGGTCCATGGGGGAGCAGAGATGCTCCTGCAGCCCATGGAGGTCATGGGGGAGCAGAGATGCTCCTGCAGCCCGTGGGGGACCCCACATGGGAGCAGGTGGATGTGCCCTGGAGGAAGCTGCAGTTAGGGAGCTGGAGCAGGCTCCTGGCAGGAATGACAGCCTGTGGAGTGGAGCCCATGCAGACACAGGTTTCCTGCAGGACCTGAGATCCTGAGGAGGAAGGAGCAGCAGAGACAAAGGATTATGGACTGACTGAAACCACCACTGCTCATTCCCTGCACCACTCAGGGAAAGGAGTTCACCAGCGGGGAGTGAAGGAGTGAGGTTGAGCCTAAGAAGAAGGGTGGGGTCAAGAAGATGTTTTTAGTTTTGTGTTTGCTTCTCACTATCCTACTCTATTTTAGATTGGCAATAAAGTAAACTAATTTCCCAAAGTTAAGCCTGTTTTGCCCATGACAGTAATTGGTGAATATGCCACTGTCTTCATCTCAACCCAGGAGCTTTTTTTGCCCTATTCTTTCCCCTTGTTCTTTTGAGAAGGGGAGTGGGAGGGTAGCTTGGTGAACCTCTGACAGCTAGCCAAGGTCATCCTTTATACCTTAGGCAAGATACCCAGGGAAAAATAAGAAACCAAACCAAATATATTTGGATTTATAGCCATTCAGGGGAAAAAAAAAAAATCTATGTCATTCTGTAAAAGGCATAAAAAAATCACTGTTACTGAAAATGCAGTAATGATTCTAGGCTTTAAGTAGATTGATAAGTGTAAAGACTTTACTACCATTCAAACACACTGAAAAAAAATCAGCTTTGATCATGGTGATCAAACACAAGTAGCGCAAAAATCAAATGTGAGTATGAAAAAATTTATCCAGAATTCAATGATTTGTGGTAACATACCATCTCAAATGCATCATCAAGGCCTTTAGTGATTTGGGAACTACCCACTTCTTTCAGAATATTTATGGGAATAAAGGCATCCCAACTGATAGGAAAGAAAATACTATAGTTAGAGGGAAAGCAGCTGCAGAGTTTGTCTGGAAACTGAGCATGAGGTCAGGGGCACTCATAAGCTCAAACACAGACTGGCATTCCTACTGCTTTCACTGATTGTGAGTAAAATGCAGTGCAGAAGGTGCAACTAATGAAGGATTTAGAACAGGCAGCTGATTGAGCCCTACTATGCCATGCTGTGCAGGCAAATGCTCTATCTGAACATGTAAATAGGTTATCAGTAGCAAAACTATGTTACTCTCACTGATCAATTTGGTTGATTTAGCTTATGTTATGGGGGTTTAAAAGTTTGTGCAGTTAAAAAGAATTAAGGATTGTATGGTACTTCTTAGCTTTGTTAGTAACAGGACTGACTCCCTGCAGAAGACCAGAGGACCATACTCCTGTGGGTGACACACCCCAGGCTATGACACAGGGGCACTGAGAATTCAGAAAGGTGAACAGGAGATGAAATATTATTCCAGGCAGGAAACACCACATTGCAGTGTGGAACTGGACTGGTAACACTGCTACTCTGGAGATCATTGCTGTGACCCCCAAGCTAGTCTTTGCTCTAAAGGTAACCACAGAACTGTTTACAGCTGATGGGTCTTAACTGAGGCTAAATGGAAGAGGAGAGTGTGCCCTCATGGATGGCAGTGGGTGCTTTGTCTGCAAGAAGATGCAGAAATTTCCCTGGAGAAGGTACCTGGATTTCTGTGTGACAGAGAAACACAGCTTGTGGACTACACCAACAGAATGGAAACCTTCACCAGCCTTGACCACAGTGTTGGTATGAGCTGTGAAATGGCTTTTCACCAGTGGTACTGGTGCCTGGCACTCCTGTTCAACTCTGCAGAACTCTGGGGAGCCTGTGTGAGACTGAGAATTTTCAGAAAGAAAGACATGCACAAGAATTCTGAACAGTATTTAGAGATTTATTCAGGTAAGTCAAAATGGGCACAGGGTTGACCAGAGACTGATCATGCACTATTAGGGACAAAGAGATTCTCAAATGCTTACCAAGACATTCAGTAAAAGGGAAAAGCTGCTGGGAGAACAGATGCTTTCATATGTTCCCTCTGAAGAGGTATTTAAGGGCTTGAAAACTGCAGTCGAAGTCCTAAATAAAAAATTCAGACAAATCAACAAATTTGGCTAAAACTAGACATTTCCAATGAAATTGTCTCCAGTGTCCTTAAAGGAAGTCACTAGATAGACATTTCCAAGGGAAAATTCTCTGTGAACTATTTAATCTTAAGATCTGATCAACAGTTGCCAACTTGAGTAAGTGGATCAGGGGTACTGCACAAATCACTCATGAGAAAGAGACAGAAATCATCCTGGACAGCAAATGTTCTTCACATGTTGGTGAAGGTTCACATGTTGACCATGAGCTGGTCAGGCCAGCCAGGACCAGAAGGAATGTGAGCAGGAGATCTCAGAGCAGCTGCTCAGTTCAGAGAGAGCTGCACTGGTGCAGCTCAGCTCCCTCATTTTACTGGCAGGTCCCCACCAGCCCATCAAGTTTGCTGAGCACACTGGAAATCAATTTCTGTCTCAGGAAAAACAGGAAGTGACTAGAGGATGCCAAAATGTTACTTCTGTTTTTAAACAAGGAAGAAGTGGTTGAAAATCCAGAAAGAGAAATGGAGTTATCTTGTTGCAAGAAAAAAGAATGAAAGACTTGCAATGAGGAAAAAAGCAGACTTTAGAATAGTCAGTGAACAAAAAGGTAATGTCTTTTGAGATGGTAATCTTGAGCATGAAGGCTGCTGACAATAACTGGAAGCAAATGTATTAAATCTCAAAAAGCAAATTTTCTCTATAGGAAGAAAAGAGAAGTAGTATAAAAAATGCTTATCAATAAGATTATTCCTACCAGAAATGAATGCCTTTAAGTAAGCAGTTGTGTGCACCAATCTGACTAGGATTAAAAAAAAAAAAAAAAAACAAAAAAGAGAATAGTTGTTACATACAGTCAGTGACAGAGGTCTATTAAGATCAAACTAGGTGCAGAAATCTCTGAACCAGGGTTGATTTCATATGAGCACTAATTCAGGTCAAGGAAACATAGGTCATAAATAACTGGAGAAGGCTACACATAGTGCCCATGTTCCAGGATAAATCTGCTCATTGTTGCAATGAGCAGAACTGCCTGAAGAGTCAGCT